CTCGACTTGTCTCTTAGTCGAGACCAATCACAGCTCCAGAATCAAGCATTATGGCCATCGAATAATGGCTGATCGATCATTGGCTGCACCAAACAACAAACAACAACCCTAGGCGATTAGGATCTACCCTAATCTCTCATAAAATCTCCAAGCCGATGACTCTCTACCCCTTAACCCTTCTATTTTCTTCCTACCAAGCGGCAAAGGTAGGCACCGTAGCTACCACGTCCAATCAACCCTGATAAAGGTAAACAAACCCCAAGTCAAACCTTCATAAAAAAACCCCAAACCTAGACCTAGCGCTCTCGATAGGGACTCCCAAATGCCACCCGAGAACCAACGACGAAACCCTCCAAAGAAAAAGAAGCTTACCCTCGATGACTTAACAACGTATGGATGGTGGGAGGTGATAGTGATGTTCCAGATGCTCCTAACACCGGTGATGGCTCAACCAACTCACGTAGATAGATTTCACTCTCTCTCTCTATATCTTAATTTTGAAAATGAGAAAATGTTGCCTTTAATGCCTCTTGAAGATAGATTATTGTTATGTTTTTTGATTCAAAAAGAAAAAAATAGCTAAGTCTTTGTATTGTCTCTGTGAAAATATGAAAGGGGAGAATATCTTGATTACACTTGTTTTCGAATGGGGAGCAGAACTTCTTCATTTACCATGTTTTCCTTTTTTTTTTGTAGAAGAAGCCCCTTACAATTGTTCCCTTCGAGTTTTTATCCTCTCTTTTCTTTTCTGTTACCTCCAAATATTCTCCTTTTTCTCCGTTTTTTTTCTGTGCATGTTCCTTCTGTAATTTCCCCTCCAGCTCAGTTGGTAGAGCGCAAGGCTCTTAACCTTGTGGTCGTGGGATCGAGTCCCACGGTGGGCAATTCATAATTTTAACTTCCAGAGGTCTTCTACGGAAGCTGCTCTCAACCTGGCGTTGGGGGTAGCCTACTACCTTACCTCCCCCTCACCCCATTACATATGGGAATAGGGTCAGCTAATTTTTTTGTTGGTGAAAAACCCCCAACGAATCATGGAAATCCTTCGGTTATGCATGGCCAACTGAAAGCATGAGGGGAGGCTTCTGGATGGGCCACCTGGGTGAGTTGGTTGCTAGTGGGACCATTGTGTGAGAGCTGGCTGTTGGAATCTCTGTTGGGACCACCTGAGCATGGCATGGTGGTTGCTGTCCTGGCAACTTCGTGAAGCATGAAAACCCGAGGAAAGAATCATCTCGGTTCTTTGTTGTTGGGCTGCTAGTAGGGCTTTGGGCTTCCACCAATTGGACACAAGTTGGGTTTCATGTAATATTGGGCTTGGTTTGAATCATTTGATATGCTATAAGCCTATAAAAAAATGATAACTTTTAGTGTATTTTAAATTAATGTTATATATATGACCAGAAGCGTAATTAATAAATAATTATTAATAAGTAATATATATAAACAAAGACTCAAATGAAATTCCGGACAAAATGAGTGTCTACAATAGGCTTAGTCGTAGTGGTGTTCAAACCACCCTTTTTTATGAGAACCACACTGCTTAATTGAGACAACTTGGGCACCCTCGACTGTCACGACTTCCTTACCCTTGATTAAACGGTCATCCCCATTCTCTGGAACCACTTCAACGGGTAAAACTTTATTAGCTTGGTTTCTATCCTGCTTAACCTTCTCCGCGTCCAACGCTTGGAGAATGTCATAGCGTGACTTACTTATCTGCTCTGAAGTGACCCTAGAAACATCACCATCACTAGCATTCTTCTTCCGATGATATTGGTCAAAGACTACCATCAAGGGTCCATAGAAATCCTCAATGGCACCTCACGTCGACGGAGCTTGTCTCGACTGTTCCGTAGAAGCTGAAACTTTATCCACATTCTCTACAGTCGTATGTTTCCCACAAGATTCCTGGAAGTGACTGTAAACCGCGCATTTGAAAAAAATATGTTACAATCCCTCATATTCAATTTGTTGGAAAAATCCATCAATACCAATACACAAGAGGAGCGATTTATTTAAGTCCACCACGACCGTCAAAGAGCGAACTTCCCTTTTTCCCCCACATTGGTATTATAATCCACCTTAACAACTCTTTTGATTTCTGTAGCTATCATACCAAATAATGATTTCGTGAAATACTGATATGGAAGACCCAAAAGGTAGATTCAGACCACATCCTGAGATGGGTGGTTCTCTTAAGTAGAAAAATTCTAGCTCTAAGGCTGCACCATAAGGTAGCTACCGAACACCACCCAAGGACCCTTGGTTAGTATCTTATTATAGTCTCTTTAACAATCCTGTTTCACCAAGTTGTAACCCTTATTGAGATCAATCAATTGGATATTTCTCTGAGGTTTCCATAACAATTGAATTTTATTACACAGAGCACAATATTTAATCGTCTTCCCCAAAAAGCAAACAATAATAGACATCAACATATTCTAGTCTATGGCATCATGGACCTTATTTAATAACTGAATGAAAGGGTAGGAGCCACTCCTGTCAACCACTACATCGCCCTATTTGATTACAACATCATTCCCCTCGAAAAAACTTAGTCGAGCTAGCCTCTTTGCCAGAGTGCGCCACTATGGTCGAATAAGAACGCTTGGTCCCATGAGAAATAGTCGGGGCTTCTCTCACTTGAACCAAATCCATTAAACCACCACTCATAACTTCAAGCACAACATGTAGGGCCAAACCAATACCTTCAGTCTGTTCCTCGACAACATGACCACCATAAGGCTTCTCTTTTCCGGATGGTGATCACCAGCTGCCCTTGCAATCGACCGAGTAAAAAACCCTAAGGTGCATTGGATATTTTTAGAAAAAAATGAGCTAAAAAAGGAGGATAATAATTTCCAGAGTGAGGTAAATGGTGAGAAATTGAAGCTAATCAGCCTAGGGAGGAATGACCCTATACTCTCACATTTGTTCTTTGCAAATAACTTGGTGCTCTTTATGGAGGTGATTAGTGCGTAGAATTGGTTATTTTAAATTGCTAAATTATTTATTTTATGAACTTATCACTGTTGAATTGTGTTGTTTTTGTTTATTTTCTGTGCAGTGAACAACTTACTGAATTGGCAGTAAAAGGATGAATTCTGCATTTTTTTTATTTTCTGCTCATGGCTGGAGGCATGAGCACGTGCGGAGCTGACGTGGTAGTTTCTAGAAGGCATTGTAAGATTCTGGAAACTCAATCATTGAACATGATTCTCGAGAGAGATTTTAGGATTTTCAGTTTGTTTAATTAATTTCAAAACATATGAATTAGAATTATCTTTTAGTATTATTTAGAATTTTTATTTAGAATTATCTTATTTATTTTGAATTATCTTAGTTATTTTTAGGATTGCACATGCCTATAAATACCCTTCATGGGTAAGGCTTGACGGATATCGTTTTCTTACTTTTGTTTTTTGGGCATTTTTCTATTTACTTTTCCATTTTCCTTTTTAGTTTTCCAAGTTATTTTTATTTTACAAATCTATGCTAAGTATGTTAATCAATATCATGCTTAGCTAATTTCCTTTAAGCCGAGAGCTAGTGAAAATCAATTCCATGCGTGAGAATTGAATATCACTTAAATCCTTTCTAGATATATTTTCGTCTTTCCGATTAAATAGTTTGACAATCGATCTTACTACAATTTTAAACGTTTATCAAATCAAAAAGAGATTGTTGGTCTGGATATCATTTAATATACAGTTGGGAGGAAGGATCAACCTGTGGTAATTTGACTTCTTCTGATCAGTGTTAGTGGTGGTCCGCTAAGGAAAGACGAGATAGGATACGATTATCGACGATACAATTTCTATGTCGGGCTTTTCCAGTTTTAATATGATTGCTTTAAAGGCTATAGATGTGGTTAATTCCCTCAAGAATCATCTTTCGAAGATAGACTTGGGAAGATCGGTTATGTGAGAGAAGGGCAAGTTACAATGGGTGGGGCCTTGTAGACTCTAACCGACATGAATCTCGGAGCAAATATATATTTTGATGATCGTGGGAATTTAATCAAGCTAGCTCGAGGCTATCTGTTCAACAAGTGATTTCCAATTTTTATTTTCGTCCATTCTTCAATTTACTGCTTTTCTTTGATCAAATTTTCTTAGATTGCTTCCTCATTTACTTATTCTCAATCATGCCTAACCCCAATATTTTTTTATTTTATTTTGTTACATCTTCCTGGACTAAAATCAACATAAATCACATCAGAGGTTCCAAAATTTCCCTGTTGATCGACCCTTTTTACTATACTACTTTCATTTCATTTATCTTATTTTATTCTAAAGATGTTTATTATTTTTGACTAGTAGAATGACACTTGTCAAAATTGGCGTTGTTGCCAAGGAAATGTTTAAGCAATTTACTGATTAATTTTTGTTTGATTTTATGACCAAGAGCAATCTGGGAGATCTTGTAGAATTTGACCAGGAGATCGAAGCGAGAGCTTGTAGAACTCACGGCTAAACGCTTCGAAAGAAGAAACAACAACGCTAACAGAACGAGCAAATATCAGATCTGGAATCTATATCCCAAATATCATCTCGATCACAATCTTACTAAGAATCTACTCCGGACGTCAATTCCACTGTTCTTAACAAAAATCCTACACCTGAGCCACCAACATTGGAGCATCAGACTATTGGAGAGCTAGTTGCAGCGCCCGCTGTGTAACAATTTCTTTGTATCACCTTTCCTAATTGCAAGCCCCAAATTCAATTAAAGAATAATTGATCCATCTCATTCCTACCTAGAAAGGTCATCCCAGCGAGAGCCCACATAAGCACCTCATCGAATTTCATATGGTTTTCAGCAGTATGATGCCTTAGAGAGTTTCTGAGGATCAAATCAAATTACGAGTGTTTCCTTTTTCCTTAGTTGGAACGACTAAGAAGTGGTTATTTTATCTTCCGCCTAATTTGATTACTACTTGGGCTGAATTATCTCGTGGTTTCCTTGACATATTTTTCCTTCACGTGAAAGCGAGCAAACATAGGCTAAACATTTTGGGAATCCAACAAAGAAATACTGAAACTCCCTTTGATTACTGGGAAAGATTTAAAAAATTATGTGGCAGTTGTCCACAACATGGCATATCCGAACAAACTCTCATTCAGTACCTTTATGAAGCCATGCTTTCGGTTGATAGAAAAATGGAGGACGTCGTTAATGGTGGCACTCTCATCAACATGACCCTAGAAGCCACGAAAACTCTAATCTTTACCATGGCCACAAATTTACAACAATTTGGTTCTTCGAGTGAAATCAGACGATAGGTTCACGAAGTAACTAATGGTTCATTGGAAAATAAGATAGGCAAATTAACTGATGTCGTGGATTCGCTCGTTATAGGAAAAATTGGAGCCGCAAGGGTCTTTGAAATTTTCACCTTATCGGATCATCCGAAAGACTATTACCTTTTATTTCAAGATGAGTCAGCGCCCATGTCAATGCCGTAAACAATTTTCCAGGACCTCCTCAAAGACCGTATAACCCTTACGGTAACACATTTAATCTTGGTTGGAGAGATCACCCAAATTTGAGTTGTGGAAATAGAAATCCGAATTACCAACCGAGACCAACCTCCCTTTCCAAACCAAGCGCTTCAAAAAACCTTCCTTGAATCCATTGTTGAAAAATTGGCTATCTCGGAATAAAAATTTCAAACACAAATGCAATCTCATCTTCAAGAAATCGACAAACAGATAAGCCATTAGCCCAAATTGTTGGTCGTTTAGAGTCTCAAGGTAGATTACCCTTTCAAACTGAAACAAACCCGAGGGAAAATATGAGCGCAACCACTTTATGGAGTGGTACTGTAATCTCGCCTTAAGTTGTAGGAACTAATCCCTTAAGTTGTTGGTGTAAGCCTATCCAATGTACTTCTGTCGAAACTCCGACAAGACGTATTCCCAAGTCAGTATCTTAGGCTCCAAAACCATCTCAATCATCTCCCAAAAGTATATGACATCACCCTTAAGTAGAGCAGTACGCACTCGAACTTACCCTCAAGGATAAGGTATAGCTAATGAAGTGTTCAGAAGGTCTCTCTATGCCACTAATCTGCAGTGATGGGCTCACCATCTCTAGAACCATATAAATCCATGATCTTATATCTACAGATCCCCTCTATTGGGGACTCTTGCGGTGCTACGATAGGTGAAACTGGAGATGCTAGTGCGGTAGGTGGAGCACCTAACACTTTGGAGATGGCACAGACTATGTGCATAAGCGTTAAGGTAAGATCTTCAAAGAAGATCACCTCGTCAACCCAAGTGTTTCCTGAAATCTCAAACTCCTCTAAATCTGAGACAAAATCCTCTAAATCTGAGATAAAATCCCTATATACCCTCTTGACCATGAGTTATGTTATCGGGTATGGGTTTCTAAATTTTTTAAAAAAAAGAGAGGTTGTTATCTTCATCCTAAATATAAAGTACTTTTGACACTCTAGAGGTATGTACACACATAGACGTTTACTAACACGAGTCCTAGGAACGATTGAACCTGATGCCCTGATACCATTAAATGTAACACTCGAATCTAATATGACATAAAGATTGAATGATTAAAGCATCACACGAGACGAATGAAGTGGTTATACCAAAAAGTTCTTTTAAACAATACCGAAATCATCATTTAGCCATCATATTTGGAAACATAAATAAAACACACAAGTAATTCAGTTTTACAAAAGTGGGGAGCTCCTAATACGTCTCAAAATAGCACATATCAAATCTTTCTAAAAATTTAGTTACAACTCAAATACGTGAAGGTCTATGAACAATACATATCCTGTAAAAAGACTCAAGACGTACTCTACTACTCTAAAATATTTGGAATGTAGGTTGTGTGATAAGCTCCTTGGCGCTCCGCTCCTCCTATGAACCTATGTACATAAATAAATTTTGAATTGCTGAGCTCACAAGCTTAATGTCACACTAATAATTATAATATATTGCTTGCATCCATTATATAGTCGTGCTAGTAAGTAAAGACATAAGCATACAAGTATGCTAAGACATGTTGAGGTGAGATCTATAATTTTTTTCATTGGAAACATACACTCATCCAACCTACTCCTTGTGAGTACTTGGGGCATCTATGTCCGATTAGTGACTGAAGTGCCTTGACACTAGCTGAGACATAACCATATATCCTAATCATACAAGACAATCTTCATATCATTAGAGTAACTCGTGTGTCATTGTTATTTCTTGAGCGTCACACAATGGCTAGTTTTTTGACATTCTCATTTCATACCATTCTTAGCTATTATTGTATCCATTAGTTGTTCTCACTTGTAAGTTCATTTAAGAAGTTCAGGTGCTTTTAGACCCCTTCCCAAAACCCTTGTATCAAATTAGGTGTTTTTTTTGCCAAATTCAGGATGATGGTATCGATACTAAGCCTTTTTTGTGCGGTACTAACCCTTCAATATCAATACTCACCCCTTGTACCAATACCAAATTGGTATACTAGAATCTAAGGAAGCCTTGTAATATCGATATTCTTATAGGAGTATGAATACTTCTTTACTAGGGTATTGATACTATCCTAGGTATTGATACTAAAATTAGGTTTGATGTTATGGTAATTAAGTTCGGTATCGATACTCCGCAAGTACTAGTGCCATATTTCGCTGCTAAAATTTATAATTGAATTCTGGTACCGATACCCCTCTTTTGGGTATTGATACCTTATGAACACAGTACTGATATTAATAAGGCAAAAACCCTTTTGTTTTGGCTATCTAAAGAATAATATCAGTTATATTCATCTAATACTGATATCCTAGCCCATAAATACTCTGTTCTTTCTCGAAAATGACACCCAACTTTACCCATTTGCCTCTCTAAGGCTCTTAAACATCAATTAAGTCTTATGTGAGCTGATAAGGGTTATAGTAAGTTATTTTTCATGTTGTATAACATCAAATGTCATAATCTACCATGGATGCACTCACATGCTTCATGTTCTTATACAAGCTAATCTAGAACATATAATGATATACAAGTGCTATAAGTGAGTTAGAAATGTGTTACCTTGATCCTTAACCCGCTAGAATGACTCAAAGCTCAACTAAGAACTAGCTTTTCATTGCCCTTGCCCTTAGAGAACTTACCAACTTCTTTCATTAATCATAAAAATGGAAAACGAGTTACCAACTCATTTAAAAATTTAGAAGGAAGTTAAGAACACTTCCTAAAGCTTAAATCTACAAAAAAATGAGTTGATTCATTAAGGGTTCTAAACCCTCACTATACCCCTAATTATGGTTACCATATCTAAACTTTGATATTGTTGGCTTGAAAGGAACCTTAAGATGAGGAGATTACAAACCCTTACCTTGATAATTTTTTACTAAGATTTCAAGGCTACAAAGTTGCTATCTTTTCTCAGGATACAAACAAGAACTAAGGAGAGTTTGAATGGGAGAAGAAGGCAAGATTTGGTGAAGAAAAAAAAGGAAGAGAAGATAGTTTTCTTCCTTCTCTGTCGTGTGACCTCATGCACATTAATGGGATTCAGCCTTTGAATCTTAAAATGAGTAAAATACTTCTTTGGTTCCTTTAGTTTTGCTCTTAAAACAAAAATAACATTTTTATTACCATGTGGGATCAATCCAAGTCCAAACCAAATCAACTTGGGCTAAGGGTTCCTATAAGGCTGATGAGTTTATCCAAAACTCTCCTAGGTTAGCTTGAAACTTCTAACTTGAGATTTAGTGTGTTACAAAGATTAATATTAACATTAGAGGTAGTGAATGCAATAATTTTCTGTAACATGGTTCAAGAGCTTTGCTTAGCCCCAATGATGAGAAACAATTCATGGAAGCCACCTCCAGACGATTGGGTGAAGATTAATATTGATGGAGCCTAACAAACGGATACTAACCTAGCGTCCTACGATGGTTCCTAGATAGATCATAAGGGTGCATGGCTTTATGGTTTTACAAAAGTATTAGATGTTGTTTCGATTTGGATGCTGAGCTTTGAGGGTTTTCTTGAAGGTCTAAACTTGGCTTGCGATCTTGGTTTATGCCATGTTATAATGGAGTCGGATTGCAACAATGCTCTTTTGACCATTAACAAATATACGGAGGAAGGGTTTCACCTACGAATGATCCCACACATTGTTGAATTCATCAAGCGTGATTAGAGTGTTTGTTTGAATCATGTTCCAAGAGAGTACAATCGAGTGGCTGATGTTATGATAAAATTGGATTGGAGTTGATTTTTTGGTGTTCACAAATTCCATGATGCAGCCCCAGAGATAAGCTCTGCCTTTAATGATGATTCTATAGATAGTTAAGCTAGTGATTCTACTTGTCATCTAGCATGTTCCTTTCTTCTCATTAAAAAAATAGCAAACTATCATAGTAAAAGAACATTACGAGCATCTTGAAGCAAGTTATCTCAACAGTTAAATGATGATTGTTATCATTAGAAGTCTCGGGTTAAAGCAAATTGAATATTAGGATGTTTGAATGTTTATTATCAAATAAAATGAGAATCTTTCAAATATATACTATTTTATGATCATCTTTAGATTAATAAAAAAATTAACAGTATTGCCAAGAGTTGTGATGAATTTCAATTTCTATTTATCATTCACGACTCCTATAATTTAGTAAATAATTTAAAACATCTTTATTTAATATTTAATTAACCTTTATAGGCCGAAAAAAGGGGCAGCTTATGGAGAATAGAGCGCATGATAGATTCTTGTTTCGCTTATAGGATATAAATGAATTGAATTTAAATTAATAGATTTTTGTGTATGTTAATTTGTTATTTTATTTTGTTATATTTTATTTATTAAGAATTTAAAATTATATTTATATTATATATAAGCTTACTTTTTAATGATTCTTTTGATAAAGAAATATATTGAAGAATGAATGATATTCTTGAAAGTGGGCTCGATAATAAAAATGGTTATGATTCCAAAACCATGATATACAATAAAAACAAAATAAGAGGTCCAATGAAAAACATCGTAGTCAGTATTCAGAAGAAAAAGTGGATACACTTCCTTTGATGTTTACGGTATAAAATTCCCAGAAACTTGCTCTGCATCCTCATCCTTCAC